TTGTTGCTGGGCTCAGGAATGAAGATGCTTCAAGCCAACCAACAAGTGCTGCATGGAAATAAGAAGTACTACTTGAGAAATGGTTGGATTTCAGAGAGGAAACCTTGGAATAGCTTTAAAATTAGGTGTTGTTATTCCTCTAGCAGTGCTGTTACTTTTGTCCATTAAAACATTTCTGGTTTGACAACTTCTAATCTGCATATTCGTAGGTGAGTTGGAAAGGACCTTAAAGATCATCTTGTTCCACAGGAGAAAGCAAAGAACTGACGTTGAAAGCAAAATTTGAGCCAAGCTTGAACATAAGATTGAGATCCTGAAATGAAGAGCTAAGGAAAACCTGTTAATGCTCCACTTGGTCCATGTCACTTCCAACTTCAAGCGGCTCTTGGTGGAGAGACTGATGGAAACATAGGACATCAGAAGGAATTTCTCCATGATAAGGGCTCTCTGTCAGGCATTGGAAGGGTGAAGGTGGTAGAGTCACCATCCCTGGAGGTATCCAGGGAACAACTGGACGTGGCACTCAGTGCTCTGGTCTAGCTGACAAGGTGGTGATGGGTCACAGGTTGAACTAGATGGTCTTGGAACTCTTTTCCAACCTCAGTGATTCCATGGTAAGGGACAGGACAAGAGGAAACAGCCTCAAGCTGTGCTAGGGGAGGTTCAGGTTAGACATCAGGAGGAGTTTCTTCCTGGAAAGTGTTGTCAGGCATTGGAATGTGCTGCCAGTGAGGTGCTGGAGTCACCATCCCTGAGGTATCCAAGGAACAACTGGATGTGGAACTCAGTGCTCTGGGCTAGGTGACAAGTGGTAATGGGTCACAGGTTGGACTTGATGGTCTTGGAGGACTTTTCCAGCCTACATGATACTACGATTCCATGATTCTGTAAATGCAGTGAGTGACTTTGAACTGTCTCAGCCTTCACCAGCCACCCAGGCTACCAGCAGGTCTCAGGATTCCTTCAGGACACCGCACTGGGAATTTTTACAGTCAACTGTGTTCACCTCATGATCCTGAAAAGACATTATGGAGGCATTAACAGCAACTCAACAAGTTGTCAGCTGTCTTACCACCTCTGACCTCTGAAGGATTTTGGAGAAAACCAACAAGTTCTGGGATTGAAAGGGGTGGGGGGGAAGGGAATAGGGAGACAACCAACCAACTTGAGAACCAGTGAGTTCACATCTTGCTCACCAGGCACCAGCAGGGTGTCAGGGCATGGCTCCAAGCTGAAGTATCCATAAATAGCTCCATAAAAAATGCTGTCAGCTCCTGGAAAAGCTTCTGACAAAGAGCAGGTAAGGCCAACACCTGTAAGGCAACTCCTGAGCCAGGTCCATCAGACAGCAGCACTGCTTGATTGCTGCAGACAAATGGTTGCACCTCAATGTCTTTCATCAGATCTACTTAAAAAACAATCCCTACAGATCTGGTCAGGGTTTTAAACTGAAAAAAAAAAAGGTGGAAGTATTCCCTTCCAATATATATTCCTTATAGCACCAAACAGCATCCTGACAGGCATTCCAATGAAATGAATTTCCCCTCTTATAGGAATAGATTAGACAGACAAAACCCAGATTAGTTTTTATAGAAACATACAGTTATACAATTTATTAACAGTTTTCTTTTGCACTACAATTGAGGTGACACACCCCAAACAGATTATTTACAGAGCAGGAAAGGCAGCCACAGCCAGTGTCACTTGTGCCCCATCAGCTCTGGGCTCCTACACTGGGAATTAGGGGGCTGCTGCCCCCACACCCCCAGGAGCACCTCAGCATCTCCACCCCAACCTCTCCAGCACCACAGAGGCCTGTGGGACCTGCTCTCATGGCCACCAAAGACGGCTTTGAATCATGGAATTTTTCAGGTTGGATGAGACCTCTAAGGTCATTGAGTCCAACCCAGCACTGCCAATGCCACCACTAACCACAACCCAAGGTGCTTTAAATCTACCACTAACCATGTCCCCAAGTGCCACATCCACATGGTTGTTAAATCCCTCCAGGGATGGTGACTCCACCACTGCCCTGGGCAACACATTCCAATGTATGACTAACCTTTTCATGAAAAAATTCTTCCTGATGTCCAACTTGAACCTCCCCTGGCACAGCTTGAGGTGTTTCCCCTTGTCCTGCCCCTTGTTCCCTGGGAGCAGAGCCTGACCCCACCTGCTGTACCTCTTGGCAGGGAGTTGGAGAGTGCAGAAGGTTCCTCCTGAGCCTCCTTTTCTCCAGCCCACACACAGCTCCCTCAGGGATTCCCCCAGGTGCAGGTGGGACTGAGGCTGTTTGTTCCTGGAGTTGTTCCTGTGCTCTGCCAGAGCTCAGCCCTCAGAGATCCCCACACAAGGAACATATCACAGAGATAATGACACATTCCAGCACATCCTGGCTGGGTGAGTAATTGCAGATCCTTTGCACAGGCATCTCCATGCAGGCAGTGGGAGTTGTAGAGACATTATTAGGTCTCCTGACATTTTCAAAAGGCTTCCATAGAAAATGTCTCTGGAGGGTTTCAGAGGCTGTATTGGAACTGAAACAGTGATAACAAAACAACCCATGAGGAGCATTGCATAACTCCTTGGATGGGAGAGGACAGAGAGAGGAAGTCCACGCACAAAGTTAGGGAGGAGAAAGGAAGAATTAGCTTCAAGCAAAGCCATTGTGGCTGCTTTGACAGCTGCCTGACTGCAACAGGAGAGGTCACAAACAGCTGTGGCCCAGGGGACCACACCAGCCACAGATCCAGCACAAGGAACTTGGGGGTAGCTTCTCCCGTAAGGAAAATCATGTGCAGAGCCCTTGTCAGCTAACATTTCTGCCAGCTCCGAACCCTCCTGCAGAACTTGCCTTGGTTTCTCT